TTTTGGGGAATACAATTCAGCCCATAACACATATATAAATTATTTGTAAATATACGTCTACACACCCACACAATATAGCATTTATATAACATAATAGTTATTCTCTCTCTCTCTCTCTCTCTCTCTCACACACACACACACACACATACACACACTTGACTCTTGAACAACATAGATTAAGGCCGCCAACCTCCATACAGTCAAAAATCTGTGTATAACTTTGACTCTCTAAACCTTAGTTGGCCTGTATCTGTGAGGAATTGGTACCAGGACACCCCATGTGTATACCAAAATCCACAGATGCTCAAGTCACTATATACAATGGCATAGATCAATGTATACAGTCGGAGCTCTGCATCTGCTGACTCCCAACCACAGATAAAAAACAGCACAATTTTTAAAGTTCTGCATGAAATGGACCTGCACAATTCAAATGGTATAGTTCAAGGCTCAACTGTATATATGTCCAAAGAAAAAAATAATTATATTCATTTCATTAATAGACATTAATAAATTTAGGAAATGAAAAAATAGTTTTCTAATATATGCTTCTTTTTTAATGTTATATAATGGTCTATATTTTAACTGAAGAGCTTCAAATGCACATGTAATACTCAAATTGTTATTAACAGTTAGATGTTAGTAATTCGTAATTGCCCAAACACCTATGCAGATGTTTAGTATCAATCCAGGGGTTAAAGATAAAAGTTCATCTTTAAGACCTCCTAGTACCTACCTTCTTTAATGATACTTGTTAAACTTCATTTCCTATCCATTGCCTTTTCATATTTAAATATCCTCAAATCTGAACAGTTTCCTAACTCTACCTTCAATCTCTTTTCTCTTATTCAATCACCTATCAATTTAATTGGTTTTCTCTCCATTCCTTCTGCATATCATAATCACGTTTTGATGCATTTCACCCAACATAAAACCTCTTTTCTCCCCTCTACCTGCAAACTTTTAAGGCTAAGCTCACTCTTATTTTTACCTTTATTCTCTAAAGAGAATAATTAGTTTTCCTTTAACTCCCATAGTACCTACTGATGGTCAATACTACTCAAATAAGTACTTAATTAGAGAAGATAGTTGTGTTACAGATAGAGACTAAGTTTTGTTTTGTTTTGTTGTTTTTATCTCCCACAGCACCAAGCAGAACTCTGGTCAGTTGGTAGATATTATAAGTGCTTATTTATTGATTAATTCACAACAGGAAGAGTAAATTATATGAACTGAATTATTACTGTGAAGAGCACCACAGCCTCTATACTTTTAAGGCAGTTAATTTTAATATGTTATATTCATTAAATGAATATAAATGACTTACATAGTTTTAAGTGTTTTAGTTGTCAATTCTAATAGTCATGCTATATTTGTTGTTTTAGCTAGTTTGCATAAATACAAATGCAGCATTTAAACATCTAAAATTCTCTTTATAAAATCTCATAACGTTTTATAGATTATATATTGAAAATACCAAATGATAATTAAAGCCTTATCATGTAACATTAATTGCCCCCTCAACTTGTAGCATTAGGTTTTTTTTTTTTTTTTTACGATTTACTGGATCGTTCTTGATGTACAAACATGCTATAATTTTTACAAGTGTATACATTTTAAATAAAGTTTCCTTGATTACATATCCTCCGCTAGCTAATGCAAAACATCTCAATGCAATTGTCTTTTTCAGTACTTCTCAAATGAATACAAATAATGTAGGGCTCTTGTTTAAAATTTAAATTCTAATTCATATATATGCTTGTTGCTTTAACATGTTATCTTAAAACTTAGTGGCTTAAGAAAACAAACATTTATTTGGACACACCCATGCTGGGTACCTCTGGCTCAGGATCATTCATACAGCTTCAGTCAAGGTGTTGGCTTGTACTGTAGTCATCAGTGGGCTTAATTTGGGGGAAGAATCTGCTTCCAAACTCTCTCCTTTGGCTATCGGCAGACCTCATGTCTTTGCTTACTGTTGGCAGAAGACATCAGTCCTTTGCTATGTTAGTATCTCCATAGGGCAGCTCACAATATAAGCTGCTTGCTCCAAGATGGAGAGAGGAGAGTAAGGATGGGAAGAGGGTAAGAAAGACAGATCCAGTCATGGTGTAAACTCATCCTAAAAGTAATATCTCATCAATTTTGCCCTCTCCTGTTCAAGAGGAGGAAATTATACAAGGATGCATTTCTAGGAAGTGGGAGTCATTGGGGGTTCCATCTTAGAGGTTGTCTGCTACAGTGGATTTGGGGTGGGGTCTGAAATTCTGCATTTCGAAGAAATTTCTAGGTGATGCCAGTGCTGCGCCTCAATAACTTTACTTCAAAAAATAAGGGTCTACACTTTCTGCTTTCAGTTTCTTAACCTCAGACATGCTTTGTTTATCACACTCACTCCAGTTCGGTTTTCCCACTATCCACTCCACTGAAATTGCTCTTGCAAAGTTACTAAATGACTTCTCCATTACTAAATTCAGCATTTGAAAAAAGTCATCACTCTTTCTGAAAATCTTCCTTTACTTGGCTTCTGGAACACCAAGTTTATATTTCTCCTCTGTTTTTATGCTAGTTACCTATCTCCTTGACTATAAATGTTAGTGTAATTCTTGGACCTCTTTTTTTCTTTTTTTAATAACTCCTAAACGGTCTCATGAAGGCTTATAGCTTTAAATTCAGATATATGCTGACAACTCTCAAATTTATGACTCCTATATGGATTACTCTCCTAAAGTCCTAACATATTTATCCAGAGCCTCAATGAACATACTTATTTGGATATCTAATAGTAATTTTAATCTTAAAATGTTTAAATCCGAAGTTATCGTCTCTGTTTCGCCTTTCTCCTCAACCAGGCCCAAGGGGCAATCTTGCTTCTCATCCATGTTTGAAAACCCAACAGATAGTACCACTGTCCAATTAGCTGTTTAAGTGAAAAATCCGAGAGTCATCTTTGAATCTGCTCTTTCTCTCATTGCAAAAAATCATTAAGTATTGTCAGTTCTGCCTCTTAAATATCATTTGACTTTCTTCGTCATTCTTTACTCCAACATCATACCCTCGTCCAGACTATTATTATGCATTATATATGAGTTCTGCATCTTTATATTCTTGATTGCAGCTTCCAACCTCTGAACCAGGTGATTTTACTCAGCCCGTTTTATTTTCCATGTTCATGGTTTCCCTTATTTTATGGGATAAAGTTTACGTTCTTTAATATTGTTTATAAAGCCCTGCATAATCTGGCCCAGGATTCCCTCTCTAGCCCCATTTATCTTTACTTCCTTATCTGCACAGAACTTCAGCAATGCAGGGACTGACTGGACTAGGATATAAAAGACCCATCTGACTACAAGTTTTCATGAAAATTGCTTCCCTCATAATACTCTTCCTTCTCTTCTTAGCCTGGCTAGCTTTCACTTAATTCTGGTTTTAGCTTAAACAGGACTTCTTCTTAGAGGTGATCTTGGACCTGTTAGTCTAGGTTTGGGGCACCCACAATGTAGTCTGTAGCATTATGTACTTTTCTATCTTACCAGTCAATACATTCTATACTAATCTTACTTTTTTTTTCTTTTCAACTTATCTTTTTCTTCCGTTAAGCTGTAAGATCTAGGAAGACCAAATCAGCAGTGGTAGAGTCAGATATTGGTATTTTGAAGCCTAAAACATGTAATTTGGGGGCCCTCTTTAAGAATAAAAGTATGAAAAAATACACACACACATGCACTTAACTGAAAAATTAAATATTCACATAAAAACAAATCCCGACAAAGTAAAAAATTAAGGAACTGACAAATATAAAAAGTATGACTATGAACACACGACTAGGGTGTTAAATCCCAGTAAATATACTTCTTCATATTAGTCTTCTTTAAAGCTCTATTTCTAGTGTCAAGAGAGAGCAGTTCATAGCAACATATCAGGTACTCAATAAATATTTTTGAATGAATATATTAACTGAGTTATTGTCAGTTATATTATTTATACATTTGACATTCACTAAGTTTTTCACAAATTAGATTCCTAAAACACATATTATATATTAGAAAATTGTTTTTATAGTTATTATTTTCAATTATTTGTTATGGTCATATTTCAAATAATAATTACATATCAGTTTGAGTATCATTAGGCTATATGCAAAAAGTTTGTCATGCCTCTTTCCTAAGCAGAAAAATTTTTTTACATCAAAACTATACATTATAATCTTTTTTATGTGTGTATATGTATATATGTATGTGTCTATATCTTTATGGGTCATATATTAAGACTTAGATCAATTTTGTATTACTTAGATTTAATTTTTTTTAGATATTCACACAAACAGAAACTCTTTGGGAGAAACGACTTATGTTCTGCTTCTTTTATATTTTTATAAACATTAGTCTCTGGAATAACAAAGATACTAATATTTTATATAACTTAAAAATGCATTAAATGTTTTCTTTATTATGAATTTGTCCCTAGGACATAACTTAAGTAGTTATTTCAGTCAAGACAGTAACATAGCATTGAAAAGATAAGCTACTTGGCTTAAATCTTTAGAGTTTAATTTGTTAAAATAAAATTAAATTTGTTAAGTTCCTTTTATAAAAACATTTTAAATTTGCTGAGGAGTTGGTGTGCTCATATCAAGACTGTCAGGTGTGTGAGTGTATGTGATGTGTGTGTATGTGTGTTGTAAAGTGCAGTCCTCTGATCAATGTGCACTTTTTCCTCCCATTTTCCTAAATACATCATGAAAAAAGGATGAGGTTTCCGCCTTAATTGCTTGTGCCTTTTATTCACATTCCTCTCTCAGCCAGAATTGTGAAAAGAGTGTTAGTAAAAGGCTGCACAATAGAGCTTTTCATTAGGCCTCAGCAAGGCACACAAAAGAAGGCTTTTGGAAAGCTGCCTGCCCACCGAGGCCGTCTGAGGCCAGGTGGGGCTGCATGAGTTTAATTTGCAGGTGGAGAGTAGATAAAAGGTGCTGACGCCTCTATTATTCTCTTACTTAGGTGACCCTTACCCTGTTCAGCTGATCCCAACTACCATGGCAGCTGCTGCCGCAGCAACACCAGGCTTAGGCCCACTCCAACTGCAGGTAAGTCAGGAAACAATACAGAAGGGACAAAGGTTAAGTAAATACTGAAAATAGCTATTATCCTGTTAAAGCAAAATACAACTGACAAGTGATATTTGTCTCACTCTGTTTTGTTTTTGAATTTATTTGTACTGATCCTCAACTAAAAATTAAAATGTTGATTCTTTTAATTTTTAGCCCTGTTCTCTGTACTAAAGATAGCTTATTGTAATTTTTTATTGCCTGGTATGATTTAACAAAATGAGCTGTAGTTTTGCTTTGATTACCATGTGCCATAATTTCCTCACAGAATGGTCCTCATCAAGTTAAAAAGAACAAAAATATCTACAAAAGATATTCAAACAGATACTTATGGATAAAGGAAACTTAACAAAAATTATATTTAAAATTGTTCAAGATGCCCAGTATTACTGAAGCAATCTGTAGGTCTCTTTATTCTCCTGCTAATGCCAGCTCCATTGGGCAAGCAAGGGTAAGTAGACCAAGCAAGCAGGTGGCTAAATGAGCGCAATTTTATCCAACCATCAGTTTAGATATTTTTATCCCTGCAAAATACATATTCCCACATATCCAAGAATGTCAAGTGATAACTTTACTAGATGACCAAGTGATTTTGGAAATTTTGTCTCTAGAGTTGAAAAGAACATCAATAAAATTATATTATAGGTATCTTTTATTAATTATTTAAATCTTCAAATCAGCGTCCTATAAAATCTTTCCTAGTTTCTGTTATTATGGACTTTATAGTTATGTAATTAATAGGAATAACACCATCTAATAATAAGATTAATCTTCCCTTTAGAGAAGTTTCATATTTTTCTTTGCCTGAAAAACACAGTGTGCCTGTAAAGCCAGATATACAGCAGTTGTGCTTAATAAAATTAAAACATATTCATGAAAGTGCACTGTCATGATAGGTGATCTTAGTCAATAAGATTGTACTGTAACATCAAAACATAGATACATCTGGCCCGCAAAGGGGATTGTCAGAAGACCTTGTGGGTTTCTGAAAACCCAGCGGGACCTCACAAAGAACATAGGAGAAGCTGAGACATACATGTTCTCCAGAGGTTGATAACAGTCATTCCTATTTCACCTTTTCTGCAAAAAGCTACAATCTGACTTTCTGTTGGAAATACCTCGAGAAGTGTTGGAGCCACAGAGAAAATAAAAGTAACATGACATTTTATATCCTTTGAAATGGCATCTAAGAAAAGACTATAATACAGAGTAGTTGTAATAGGTAAAACTAAAAAGAGTAGTGGAATTAAAGGAAGAGGGAAAACTATCCGGCAGTAGATTTGAATGTGAAAAATAATAGTTTTAGAGATTTACAATGTCTGTTTTCAAAGCAAGTTAGGCTTTCACCATTGGATTAATAGTGAAAGGGAGCAAGGGTGAGTTGGAGGCCTCCCCTATGTTTCATTGCAGGATTCTAGCAGAAAATATTAGGCAACAATCCAAACCTCTTTTCCTATAGAGATAATATTAGAATATTTGACACAAATTAAGTTTTATTTCTGTCCTTATGATGTGATAGCAGATTCCCTTAAAATTTAAAGATACAATTTTTTTTCTTTATCGGAAAACAAGAGAAAAGATACCAAACATATTTGTTCTTTCTTTAACTATAATTTGTTCTATAAAGATCTTTACATAAATGACATTGTACCCATTAAAAATATATATTTTAATTGGGATCTCAGTAAATCAACACTGTGGTCTAATAAGAAAATTAATAATCCAAAACTCTTTTATGGTAAGCTATTAGCTACTGTTAAAACACACACACACACATACTGCTCATGATTAAAATATGATACACAAATCCAAACATATTCCAAATGCATGTGATGACAGATACTCTGGCTTTTCTTTGAAGCAGATCAACATACCTTTACTAGGGTGCCTACACCAATTTACTCTCTACTCATTTCCCCAGACTTCAGCTTTCCCCAGAGCTGTAAAGGAGACCTGTAATACTTCCCCTCTCTTTGCTTTAAAACAGCATCCAAATTTTTCTTCCCAGAGGGTCAGAGCGAAACTAACTACAATGCCTAGTCAGAATTGCTTTGTCTTATCTTATCCCTTATCCAACATTCACCCCAATCTTGAGAACTTACTTCTGAGAAGTTTCATCCCAGTGGAGTATAATGTATGAGCCAGCTTTAATTTTCTCCAAATTCTGCTTTTAATTACACTCTGTTAAATCTCCGTTTTTCATCCCTTAGTATTCCTTGAGTGGGGTTTATCATTTTTGAGTCCCTTTCAGTGACTAAAATTCTCTTTTAGTTATTAAGATTCTGTACTAGATTCTATGTTAGAGTCTCTGGTAAGGCTTTCACAAGGATTATGTCATTTTATCTAATTATACTACTTTGTGTTATATATTAATATCTTCATTTGGCAAGCAAGAAAACTGGGTCACAGAGTTCAAAATCCACGGTTTTTAAAACAATTACATTTGCTTCTCCAAATATAGGCAATATTATTTTAAACTTTGGAGGCATTGCCCCTCTTAGGACATTTGCTAACTCAGTAATTTGCTAATCAAATTATAACAATAATGCTGATTAATTAGTACTAATGCAAATACTCTTTATGAATTGCAATACTGAAAGTATCAGGATTCATAATGATAGCTATCTACTTCAAACTCTGCATTTTTCATTTCTTACCTCTTTATAAAGATATATGTCAATTCAAGCCTCTCTTTTTGAACATCTAGATTTAAGAAGGGATACTGTACACCTATTCTTAATCATGGTTGACTTTGTTTAACCACTATTTGTGTTTTCCTTTGAAATAATTATTTGCTTATAGTTGGTCAGGCTTGGATATTAAGTAAAATCCATAACCAAGACCTTTATTAAAAAATAATAAAGATGACTACAAAAGTAGAACAAAATGACATATTTTAAAATAAGCCATCTTTTATTAGCTAAATATTATTTCTTGCTTCTGGATAAGATAATAAAATATTTACTATGTAACAAAAAATTCTTTACATTGAAAAAGGACCTTACTGTGTACTTTTAGGTACGGTTAAAATAGTATAAGCATTGACATATATTTATTTTTATATAGAAAAGAATGACTTATTTAGGTTATATACATAAAACATACAAATTAACATTTGTCAAGGCACCATTTTATTTATTGCTTGTATAATGAAATATCTGTCTTTGTTTCTTCTGCCTTTTAAGTCTTGCCTGAGCTTCTGATCCATATAGCTAACTATTTATTTGCTAATTTTTGACTATTCAGAGGATATATATAGATGCTTACAGACACTAGAAACAGCACAAAATGGAACTTGCCAGTTTTTCCTTGTCCTCAGACCTTCTCATTCTCTGTTTTTGGCATATAGCTCCATTCCATCTATTGCTCAACCCAGAAACGTGAGAGCTATCTTTAACTCCTCTTCCTCGCTCTTTCTCTACACCTAGTCATTCATTCCGCCTACTAAATACATTAAGTATCCATCTGTTTATTTCCTTTGTTTCTTTCCTTTGTAAGTGTCACCCTTCTGGGTCAGGCTACTCTAACTGCTTGCCTAATATACCTCAATAGCTCCCGAACTGGTCTTTCTGTCTTCATCTTGCTTCTTTCAATGTGTTCTCTACTATGTGTTAGTCAGAATCATCCTTCTAATTTTAGAAAATCTGATCACATCCTCCCCTTACTTACAGACTTTAAATGACTCCCTGGCATTTTCAAATTCTCTCTCCTCTTTGGATCTTTACATGTGATGTTTCTTCTACCTACAACTGTATTACCCACCAACTTTACCAAGCCCACTCCCACTTATCCCTGAGGTTACAAGTGAAAACATCACTTTTTCAGGGAAGACTTCATTGTCCCCACATCTAGATTAATGCAGCTCTTATGTGACCCAAGAGCACATTGTATTTCTCCTTCTCATATAGCACTGGTAGAATATGTTTTCAATTCTACTTTCTGGCTTCTAGCAGATGGCAAAATCTATGAAGTCAATGACTCATTATCATTTGCACTCAATCAGGTGCTTGGAATATATTATGGACTCAATAAATATATATTAAATGAAATGGTGAATTTTAACATTATACTTTCAATTAATTATGCATCTGTTATGTTTAAGTAAATATTCTGTTTTATAATATTGGAATTAAGCTGAATAGTAATGATTCATTTTCTTCATAAATTATTTCCATCCTTTAAAAAAGACAATAGCAGAAATACAAATATCAAAAGCACCATTGGCTTGTGGAAGAAAAAATTTAGTAGTTTGAATTCAATTTAATATATACATTGAAATTTTATAACAAAAACTATTCTCATTTAATGAAATACAAGAAACATGAAAACACTACTATATGCCTAGTACTGTGTTTGGCACTCCAGTATTTAAAAATAAAATTTTATAATAGTTTTGCTCCAAATGACCTTATTCAGTCTGCTTCAACTACACTAGGCTCTTTGCTGTCCTTTGACTTGCTAAGGCATGCTTTTACTTTAGAATTTTGCATTAGCTGTCTTTCTACCTGAAAGGCTCTTCCCTCTGCCTAGAAGGCTAATTCTCTCACCTCATTCAAGAATTTGCTCTAATGTCATCTCTCTGAGGTCTACCCTAACTAATCGATTTAAATCATAAAATAACCTCCCAGAAGTACCACACTTCCTTTTCCCCATATTCTACTTTTTTTCTATAGCACTAGTCATCTCCAAAATACTATATAACTTATTATGTTCCTTGTTTATCATCTGTCCATTCCAAATATTCTCTAAGCTCCACCAGAGCAGGAACTATTATATTTTGCTGTTGAATGATGTATTTTAAGTGCTCAGAAGAATGCCTGGTGAATAGTTGGTGCTCAAAGCGTATTTATAAATGGAAAGAAACTATCATGAGCTAATGGTCATAATCATTTTAAAAAAAACAACAAAGCAATATATGATTAATTTCTGGAACAAATGATATTAATTTAAAGACCAGGGAACATTACTTTTTCTTCAGC